AAAGGAGACGGGCGAGTGGGTCCTCCCAAACCCGATTCGGCTTTTGGTCCTCAGGAAGTCCTCCCACCTCCCCTGATGTTCGCTCATGAGCTTGCGGGAAGACCACCTGGATACTTTTCGGTTTGGCCTTTGAAGGCTTCCATTGTACACTGGCGATTTTACCCCTCCCCCCCCTCCCCAAGTATGCGCCAAGCTGACCACTGAATCTGGCAGTACCAGCCCTCTCCCCAGGGTGTAAGGTAAGAGGCAAAGGAAGTGGGCATGGGCCCCTGGGCTGGGGAAGCTGGGAGGCAGAGGGTGGTTCTGGTCTTCACAAAAGCCCCAAAACTGGTTTCTCTGGAGGAGTTCACCCAGAGGTCACATGCCTTCTCACAGGAAGAGGGTAAATGTACCTTCAGGCAACCCAGAGTTAAGGCCACTTCTTCTAGGCTGGGTAAGAGTATTATACTTTTTTTTCTGAGCCCTAATCTGTACTTATTATTCAAGCATGGAATCTGTCCTGGGGGTATAGGAGGAGGCACAAAGACTTCTGGCTCCAAAGAAGAGGATCAAAGCACCACAGGCTGACTGGGCAAGGAGGGACACTTCCTGTTGGTGCTTTCCTCTTCCAGGCTGGAAGCATCCTCTCTGCCTGCATCTGATGGCTAAGCCAGGTTTGTCATCACTGTGCTCATTTGAGACCCTCTCTGCTGTGGGGTCTGCACAAACTATGAGTCAGTCAAGAGCTGTTTGGATGAAGAATGAACTAAGGACTGTAATCTGAGGATAAGGGCCCCTCTGATTCCAGCTAGATGCACCCCCTCAGGGACCTCCAGCCTGAGCCAATCCATCGTCAAGTTGAGCTCCTAGCCAGTTGATCTGGTTCTTACCCTGCATAGGCTGCCTTCCACCCAGGGGGTCGGGAGCTAGACTGAGAGGGAAACGGAAGAGAAACATGGGGAGTAGGAAAATCCCTCTTTTTGCTGTCAACTGACTCCAGGGCTTGCCTGTACCAGTTCTAAACCACAGCCTCCCTGGTTTACTTCCCAGGCCTTGGAGAACCCCCAGTTTCTGCTACAATCTCTCCCCATTCTTGCCAGATCCCAGGAGCATACAACTTTCTAAATTGCAAGTTAATGAAATTTTTCTGTAGATACATACAATGAATTGATGATTAACCTTTCCAATACACACTCTTCAACTCCACCCTACTGCCTCCCTGTGTTCAGTGTGCTAAGGTCATGGCCTCCTCCCAATTCTAGACACCTAGACACTCACCCACTGTCCACTAACTTTGCTATGTAGCAAGTGACTTGGATACAACCATGATAGCGATGAATAATTAATCTATTTTGTGGGTTTCCTGTCTTCTGAGTTTTCAATGATGTATTATCAGAAAGGCTCAGGAGCTATGCTCTTTGGCTGCTTTTGAGAGGCTTGAGTCTGTTCTTGCTGTTTGCATGGTAATTGCCTCTGCCTCTGTTTCCCTATATGTGACATATGTGTATCACTCACCATTGTCTCTTTCTTTAGCATGAAGGCAACGATTAAAATTCCATAGAGCAGACATCTCTAATCCACACATCCTGCATTTTATGGGACAATCCTGATTTCAAACATTTTGTCCCTATCATCAGACCTTATGTTGGATCCTATGATCCAATTTGAGGCCACGAAAATGGCCTTGAGAATTTATGAATTTTTCATTCCAACAGGAGCTGGAATTTTACTTATGTGAATAAAAATTCTGATTCCAGTCTGGAACCTACTATCTGACCACAGAAAGCACCATCCAGCCCAACAGGAACACAGCTATGCCACTGGAGGCCCTCCTTGTGAACCCCCTCAGTGCTCAGCCTCCATGTCTACCTCACTCCTGGACACTGGACAGGGGAGGGGCCTACTCACCTCCACAGAGCACCCACAGCACTGACCATATCTTCCCCATCATGGTCTCGTTTCCTCTCTGCTCCAAACCCAGACAGGCTGGGCCAACTAACTGGTGGAAATCAATGCAAGCTCTGACCTGGGTTAACCTTGGACTGTGGTTGTCTTTGGGCTCAGCTCAGCCCCATCTGCCCCTCAGCTGGACTGACAGGCTAACTCACCTATGGAGTGAGGCTCCACCTACTCCATCAAAGCAGCAATAGAGATCATCTCCACCTTCTGATCCAGTCACTTCCTCTGACCGTGTTATCCGTAGCAAGTGTACAAAGTCCTGGGCATTTCAACAAGGCGCAGGCGCAGCTATACCAGATAGGAAGTTGTTGCTCTGTAATAGGAAGACATAATTTCAATGTAACATCTGAATAGCCCAATAAAAGAAGGGTGTTGTCACGAAGCCCAATAAAAGAAGGGTGTTGTCTAGAATAACTGCAACACTTCAAGATGCCATATGATCTGTTCTTCTACCTCTCTCCCTTGTATACATGGGAAACCTACCCCATGCTGGAGACACTATCCTGAGGAAGACAGGAAATCTGTGCCCTCAGTCAGACTGCTTGGGGTGAAAGACAGGATGCCAGTAAGCAGAGAAGACAATCTTAGAAGTACTGTGGCGGACGTTCAGTTTGCTTGGAATTCTCCCATGTCCCAGGCAAATGGGAGTGGTGGGTGGCCCTATTTGCAGAATGCTAAATGCCGTTGGGAATATAGCCTTGGAAATGATACAGAAAATGTAACTGGGGCAGGAAAGGGGGGCCCACTTTCTACTGGCAAGTAAAACAAAATGGGAAGATGAGTATTATAATTTTACAAATGGATCTGAGCCTCAGAGGAATTAAAAGAACATTCTAATGTCACATAACAAGGATGTGGTTTTCTTATTTCTAATCTCCAGTGGCTCAGATATTGCTTTCTGCACCTTCAGGGGTGGTGACTTAAGGGTATAGAGGAGGCTTTCTGTCCCTTCTGAGCAAGCCCCTCCTACCTGTGGTCCCTCTTAGAGGTGTGGGCTGCTTCTCTTCTTTCTTATATAACAGCCCATCGCTCTGAGCCTTGGTCAGCCCATTCCTGCCTTATTCCCATCTCCTCTTCTTTCTCCCTCCCTTGCTCATATTTCTCTCACACCATATGATGTCTTCATAGACCCTTGAAGTCTATGGGCATAAACTGTACCCTAGTAGTTTCTCAATGAAGTAGCTCTTCCCTTCTGTGACAGTCTCTTATGAAGTCCCTATTTTGACACGCCAAGATGTGATTTGGTGACTGGCAATGATGGTGCCACCTGCCTCCTCAGTGATGGCTTCCTTGACCACTCTGTCCAGAGGAACCCCCTTGCCAGTCCTGCCAAGTCTCTGTCACACGTATTTGCTTTCAAACTATCATGTAAAACTAACTTTGCTACCCAAAAATTGTCCATATAGAGCCTTCTGGAATCCCTTCTCAACATATCTGCTGTTATCACTTCTTCCACAAAGCCTTCTCTAACTTCCTCAATCAGAAGGGTTCTCTTCCTCTGAATTCATACAGCACTCTGCTCTCTCTTGGACATTTTCTACATTCTGCCTTATGTGTGAGTTATTTTTGATCTGTGTCTCATTGCTCCTAATAAACCGTGAGCTCATTCATTTATTCAGGCAATTTTTAATGTCTGGCGTTGTATGCCTAACCTGGAAGAAAGATAATTTTAAGTAAGTCTGTGTTTTACTTTGGTCAAGTGCAGTGCTTGACATGTCACAGGCAATAGGTAGAAAGTTGTGAATAGGTAGGTAAATATGTTGGCAAAGGAATGGATGAAGGGGTATGTGGGATGAGGGACCTATTGGGTCACTGGACTTTGCTTAGCTCACAGTGATGTAGAAGGTGAGCTAGTGAAGCAGGGTTATGACCTCATTTGAAGTTTAGGAAGCTTGTAGAATGTTTATATCACCCAGGGTTGTGACAGACCAGCACTGTAGGCGATGAACAGGGGAGTTGTGGGGGAGGGGACTACAACTACCAGTTTGCTATCAGTCACCTCTGTGAAAAGAAGTGTAACCTGGTCACAAGCAAGGATTACCTTTCTGACTCTCATGGTGCTCTCCAACATATGTCAGAGGACTCAATCTCTGTGTCTAGTATTTTTCCAGCCACCTATAAGCAGACATGGAGTTGAGGTAAATTCTGTTGCATTCTTCCAGATCCTTGGCTTTGGAGTATCAGGAGTATGGACAGAGACATAACAAAGAAAACCAAAGATGCCTATTTATTCAGGCATCTCCAATTACAAAGCATGAACGTAGGCACACCAGTGTCAGTGTCCAGAGAACCAGTCAGGAAGGAAAGAGTTAAATGAGGCCTGCTTTGGGGTCTGGGGCCTGAGCCTGCATTCCTTTCTCCCAGATCTCTGCCAGGCTATGGGGCCAGAGGCTAAATTTAGCAGGTAGCTAAGGTTTCCTGTTAACAGCTGTCCTACCCCTCAGAGTAGAGCACCAAAGAGAGGAGAAAGGTTAGTCCTATTCACTGGTGGGAGCTTCTGGTCATTTCATCAGGGTCCCTAGGGCGTCGGGACTGCCTTTTGGGTGAGATACAGGTAGGTCAGAGGCAACTGGCTTGTCCTCCTCATTTAGTCCTGTTGAGCCCAGGACTTAAGTGGAGGGGCAGCAGGGTCTGCCTGGGCTTGTCTGGGACGAGCTCCTGAGGGTATCCTGCGCCTTGATAGGCTGTGGGATGGCGCCTGAGCCAGAGGCCATAGCTTGGGAGACCTGTAGAAGGTCAGCTGTATTTCCCTCAGGAAGAGACAGAAGGAGTATGCCTGTGTATGTGTGTGTGTGTGTGTAAGGGCCTATGTAGCCATTTCCTGAATATTGTGGCTGAACCATCTAACCACGGTGGGGGTTTGGGGGTTGGGGGCGGTTTCCTTAATCACAGGGACTGGGCCATTCTCACTGGGTTTCCTCATCAGGAATTAACACACTTTGATCTCTCCTGGTTTTACCAAGGAGACAAAACTGACACACCCCCTCCCCCACAAAACCTGAGCAACTGGATTCCCTAAGAAGCTTTTTTCATGCCAAATTTACAGAAGCTGACCGGCTGTCATGGCGACTGGTGGGGACCCGGAGGAGCAGGTAGTCCCAAACAAGGAGGAGGAAGGCGACGTGAAGGCGGTGCAGGCGCGGTACCTCCGGAGTCCCTCCCCCAGCCAGTAAGTGAGCTCCACACCCTGAGGCCATGACAGTGGGGGGCCAGGGAGCATGGTGAGAGATGGCCCCTGGACACCCACGGCCACTACCTTAAATTCACTCTTTCAGCAAGCATTACTGTGTACAGTTCATGTGTCACACTTTCTGGAGGAAGCGGACATGCAGACATACTGCATTGCTTAGTGGGACGGTAGGTCTAGTGTTAGTATGCTACGCTTACAGGCTGTGGTGGGCTAGGGAAGGAAGAGCTGTACTTGGGAAAATCATAGAAGGCTTCCGGAGGAGGTGGCACCGGATCTGAACCTTAAAGAATGAGTAGGACTTTGACAGGTCTATATGGAGAGTGGGATTTGTTTCATTGGGATTGAGACTGGATAGATAAGGCATAGTAGACCATGGACTATATAAGCATCAGGAAGGGAAGAGGCCCATTACTGGTACTAAAATATTTTTGCAACTGTGAACAAGCTGTCTTTCCAACCAGGATATGTGCATGCCTACAGAGGAGAGGCAGGGGTAGGTAAATATGATGTCTCTTCCTACAAAGTCTTCTTCCTGACAAGTCATTTAAAAGTAACTTTGACATGAAATCATTAAAGATTTAGTATTACTTGGAATGAAAAACACGCATGAAATTTTTAAGACACCAAAGACTGGTTCAATTGCCGACTAGACCCAATAGTGTGTGTGTGTGTGTGTGTGTGTGTGCGTGTGTGTGTGTGTGTCTGGCCATTTTCTTCTGCCGTAACTAAGAGCAGGACCTTGACCTCTAATTACACCCCTGTTACCCAGTTCATGTGACAATTCACTTTAACTCTTTAGCTTCTGTCTCTTTATCTATGAAAAGGGAAGGAAAGACCGAAGTAGAGTATCCCAAAGAGATGTTACGTCGAAGTATCTATGATTCCTGTTAACTAGCTGACAGTTCCTCCTTCTTTCTGGGGTCTTGCTGGCAACTGCTCTTCAGGGCTGGAAAACTCACCTGTTGGAGCAAGATGAGTTCAGGGCTGATGTTCATTCCTCATGCACACTTTCCAAATTGCTTTTCTTTTAAAGCTCAACATTGTTACCCCACCTAAAAAACAGTCAGGATTGAGAAATTTCATTGTAGCCCCCAGAGAGGGCAGAGATGGGTGTGTGGCTGGGGTGGGCTGGCTTTGTGTAATGGGCAGGGTCATGCTCTCTGCCATGGCGAGCGGCCATTTCTTTCTCACTCACGTTCCAGAAAGGTACCTGGGCTGTGAGCAGTACCTGGGGTTCTTTTCTTTTGTTGAGCCTCTATTTTAAGGCTCAGCTTCTAAAGTGACCTCACACACTAGCATCAGGTATAGAATGAGGGAGAGCACGAAGGGTCTCTCAAAAGGTTTTTATTTTATGGGCCAGGGCCTGCAAATGGCCCTTTCACATCCATTCACGTTCCATTGATTAGAATTCAGCATGCGTACTTTCTTGTGAGGATGCAAGTTAAAAGTCCTGAGCTCGAGAAAAAGAGGAAACCTGCTTGTTAATATGTAGCTTCTCAGTCACAGCTACCCCTTTAGGCAGTTAATCATGTTGTCTTTTATTCCCACTCACAGAACACACTTACTGCCTCCGGGACCCCAAACCTCACCTAGCAGCTGCTGCAGAGTGTTCAAAGCCAGGTCCTCTGGCGCCTGTGCATCCTCTCTGGGCGCTAAGTGCAGCACCTCGTGTCACCAGGGAAACTGCCACAACAGCTCTCCAACTAGATGAAAAGGGACTGGGAGACACAGCTGCCCTCAGTCCAATTAATCAATGAATGCTTTTGTCTCAGAAGAGGGACAGTCTCCCATATTTGACCCTGATTTGGCCCTCAGAGTGGAATTCCCTTGTCTGCTGTCCTCTGTGGCCTCCACACCCACCACCTGGGCTTTTTTCCTGCTCTCTTATGCTCCCTGGCCAGGTCTGAAGCAAGGTTAGAGAGTGTGTCTTTTTTGAAGGCTGTACAATAAGTTCTCACTTCATGTGTCAATAGAGTCTTGGAAACTGCGACTATAAGTGAAAGGATAGGCAATGAAACCAGGTCCTCAAAACACTTTGACTTGTTCAACATTTGCCAGGATTATTTTTCTCATCAACATTATAAGGAAATGACATTGAACAAAACATTTGTTGCTGGTGGGAGTATAAATTAGTATAACCATTTGGAAAACTATTTCATAGTATCTGTGAAAGCTCAGCACATGCCTGTCCTGTGACATACCGGGAGAGAAGCCCTAAAATACTGTAGGAGCTCACAGTCATTAAGAGCAGAATGTTTAAACAACATAATGAACTTTCCAATTAACAGTCTACAAGACAGATAGTCTGGTGGGGTTATTTTTAAATACTGCATTTATCAAGTCCTAGCTCTTGGGTGGGATTGAACTTCACAGATTATTGGTTGGGGAAGGCAAATAGTGAGGACTGAAGGTCAGAGCAAGGGGAGGAAGAAGGCAGGAAAGATGAATTGTTCTGATTTCATATCAAATTAGCCCATCAAGGAACAAAAGTATTCATTAATAGGGATGGTCCAAGAGTGTTCAGGCCTTAGACTTTCCAGCAGTCAGTCCCCCTCCAAGGCAAGGGAAACTGAGAGCCCACATCCATGTGGGATAGGCAGAGCCTCCTTAAAGTTTGGTCCTCCATCCAGCCCAGATCTTCTCTGGTTTTTCAGTGACTCTTGATGAATCTTGTTGGTTTTGATATCCTTCTTGGCTTGTATATACTCTTTAACAAGTTTTAGAAGCTGGTCCCAAACTGGCTAGCCCTTCTCAGAAATTTTTAAAAGAGGCAAGCACATTATTATACTTCACAGGCCATTTCTTTAGTAGTGATTACCATAAAACCTGAGGTATAAATTATTAGAGCTCCACTGACTTTTGAGATACCATCCAGTCAATCACCCCATTACACTGAACCTGGCCTAAAAAAACCCAGGTGACTGAATCTATAGTGTCTTTGAAAATGGAAAGACATTCCACAGTCTGAGGGAAAATATTTGAAAATCACATATCTGATAGAGAACTTGTGCCCAAATTATAAACAAAATCTCTAAAAACCCAGTACCCTACTAAGGGAACAACCCAGTTGGAAAATGGACAAAAGACTTGAACAGATCATTCACCAAAGAAGACATATGGATAACAAGTAAACACATGAAAAGATGTTCAAAATCTTTATTCATTATGAAAATGCAAATTAAAACCTCAATGAGAATACCATTATATGTCTACTGGAATATCTTAAATTAAAAAGACTGACCACGTCAAACATTAGTGAGAATGTGGAATGCCTGGAACAACCCCATTGCTGGTGAGAATATAGTGTGGTACCACCATTTTATAAACTGTCAAGTCTTAAAAAGTTAAAAAGCCCACCTAAGCATCTACTATACAACCCAGTCATCCTGCTCTTAGGTGTCACCCAATAGAAATGAACGCCTGTGTCCACACAGAGACTTGTAGCAATTTAATTTCTGATAGTCTATAACAACCCAGACGTCCACTAATGAATGAACATGGTAGTATATTTCTATAGCGGAATACTATTTGGTGGTGAAAAAGGAACAAACCATTGCTTCCTAGTTGAATCTCAAAATAATTATGTTTAATGAAAACAGTAAGATGAAAGAGTAGTACCATGTAGCTCCATGGATCTCCATAGTGACAGAAAGATTAGGGCTTGCCTAGGGAGTTCAAGGCAGAGTCAATAGAGAGAAAACTTAAAAGGGAAACTTTGTGGGATGAGGGATAAATTTACAGTCAGGATTATAAGTTTGTATAAAATTATACCTCAAAGACATTTTTTAAAGCTATAAAAGGAGAAATAAACCTCTCTTCTAGGAGACAGTCTGGTGGAAAGGACTTCAGTGGTAAAACTGATATCATATCTGCTTTCCCATTTTTTAGCCATGAGAGCTTGCAACAATTACTAAATCATAAGATGGGAAGGCCAGTTTTACCCAGTGGCAGAAATTAAATATGTATTTAAGTGCCATAGATGATATTTACATGTGTATACATTATAGGTACAGGCATAGTAGGTATCTGATAAATGGTGGTTCTCTTCCCCTTTCCTTCCAGAGAAAGCTATCTGACAACCAATTCCTTACAGTAACTCAAGGTATAAAGAATTTTTTATTTAACCAGAGTCCCACATACTGTAGTTGAAACACCATATTTCTCTAATTCTGCCACAAGCAGCAGATCATTCTAGGCAACAGATCATTACCTATTGCCATCAGTCCCCTGCTTGAACAATCCTCCCTATACTTAATAAGTGCCTGTAATTCCATCCTTCTTGTTTTATCTCTTCAGCTAAAGGCTTGAGTCTTTGAAAAATTAAATTGTGTGCTGAGTCAGCAAATAACCACCAGCGGCCTTTCACTTAATTTCCGAAGGTGACTGCAGCAAATTGCCACAAACTAAATGGCTGAGAAATGACGCAATACATTCCCCCCCCCCCCAACTGGCAAAAAACAAGCACTCGTGTCGCGCACTGTAAAAGAGAAGGCCAACACCCCAACACCCAACCAAGGGTGGGAGGCAAGAACCAGGAAATCAACGGCCCACCCCAACCACCCCCACTTGACAAGGCCAAAAGAAGAAAATCAACGTGCCACTCCAAACATTCTCCCAACACAGAATCTAGGGAAGAACCTCACCGTAACGCCACCCACCCCATGGCAACCCCCAACCTCGTAACTTATCCCAGAGAAACACAAGTGCCCCAAGAGCTAGCACCCAACCCAAAAATCGCACCTCAAAAGCACAAACAAAAGAAAACACACAAAACAACCTAATCACAACAACGCAAGACCCAGAACAAAAGAAAGAAACAAAAACGCCGGTGGCCAAAATACAATGCACTCACAAGAACCCAGACACAGATGGGGGACGGTACGCACAATCCAACGCACGGAACAGGAACCAGCCCCTGCCAAACGACATCACGAGAAGCCAACAGTCACGAACAACCAACCGCACTCACCAAACAAAAGAACTAGACGCCAACAGACACGACAAACAAAACTCAGACAGTCTAGAAAAAACCCATCCTGGCAGGGAGAGGAGACTTAACATTCCTACCTTCTCTGTAAATCTCATTCTTGGATGAATTAAGAACCTGAAAAAAAAAAGTGTGTAGCTAGTGGATAGAGGTATCATCTTCGTTTTGGTCTGACTGTAGGCACCGACTTCAAGTGCCTTAAATTCAAACCTAGCTACCAAGAGATGCTCCCTCTGGAGGAAAACATTTAGTGGCTCGTCCCTCTTCCAGTGAGGCAAATTTCCCCAGCGAATTCACAGATTGACACTACAATTTCAAGCTCCCCTGCCCCTGTCCTGAGGGGCAACTTGGCAGGACCCACTCCCCATATGTGCTGTCTCCATCATCCCACCCCAGACCCTACATAACAAGCTACATAATCAGTGAGCCAACCTCAGGCAGGGCTCTCCCTTATAAGGAGACCCCCTCCCCCAAGTCCCCCCATGCAGGTGGTCTGGAACCCACCTCTGCCTCTTCTTTTCCACCTCCCTACATCACTTTTTTTCCAAATAAAGGCTCAGTCTCTCTCTTTCTCTTGCCTGACTTGACTATTTTTCTGCTTCCTTTGATTTCTTGCTTTGGCTTTTTAAATAGGCATTTTCCATATCTTTGCGATGTTCTAGAATTTCTCAGAGGTCTGGTCAGGTGTCTCTCATGGCAGCACCTTCTCTCCACCTTCAGGGTGATCACCTGTGCTCTGCTGGCCTTTCTGTACTGAGCTTTGTGTGTCTGGTGGTGGCTCTGTGGCAGGAGTGGGGCACCCCGTGTCCATCGGAGTGTCCTCAGGAAACGCCTCTCCTATCACCCTTTCTCTTTTATTTCTTTTTCTGTGAAGATTTTCCCACCCTGGCTCTTTCAGGAAGCCTGCAGGAAACAGCTTGCTAAAAATCGATTTTCTTTAGTTTACTGACTTCTCTCCATCCATTGGAGCCTGAGCTTTGCCTGGGTGGTCACTTTCTCTGAAGTGAATGAGCACTTAGAGGTAGCTCTGGAGCTTGTTCCTTTCTCACAAAAGCCAAATCCAGAAACACACCCTGCCGTGTTGCCTCTGACTTCCACTTGCAAGGGCTTTCTTGAAAGGAAGTGATCGGCTGTCTGGGCAGGAGAAACGCGATGTCACTCCTTTCTGTGTCTGGACAGCCTGGCAGTTGGCTTAAAACAGCGGCTTTGAAACTTTGCTAACTGTAACACGCAGTAGGATTCAGTTCAGAGCCTATTTTCTGGCGAGTGTGAGGAAAAGTTTTCGCAAAATTATGCTTCACAACGGATGGTGCTATTATATGATAGTTCTGCCTTTCTTTTTTCTCAGAGTTGAGCATGACCCATGGAATTGATTCTGTGATACACTAAAGGGTCACAGTCTGCAGTTTTGAAAAAACACAAGCTTAAAAATGCTGCTCCACTCTCCCGCTCTTGGTTAGGAAGTCCATCAAGCCGGCTTTATTGTTTCTCTTTCAATTCACCCTCAAGGCTCTTTAGCTGCTATTTCCTGATCCTGTGATGAGGTGTGTATCGATCTTAGATCCTTTCTTTCCCAGCCTGTCTTTTTGAACAGCCAACCCTGGCTGCTTCCTAGTCGGGGCGGGTAGCGTCTCACTCCCGCTCAAGTAGGCGGATGGAGGCGCTGACTATGGTCATAAATCAAACCCCCCACGTCCCCCCACTCCCCCCACCCTCCGCTGCCGACTCACTGGCTTTGCCAATATGAACAGGCCTGTGGTTAGGTCTCTTTCTCTGCAGTCCTGCTTCTCCATGGAAAAGGAAAGAGCAGGTCTCTCCCATTAGGGTGCTTTGACTTCTGGGGGCCCATGTGCCCCCAGCTTTAAAAGCACCGGGTTTACAGCTCTCTGGCAGTTGACTCTGGAAAGCATTTATAACCCGCACTCTGCATTCCACACCGCAAGGCTTGGTTTAACATTGTTCAGGGGCAGCCAAGAACTGACACTAGGCTGGGGAGGGAACTTGACCCTCTTTTTCTCAATCACGAAACACCAACTTTTCTGAAGTGTCCTGTGTCATGTCTCCACTTGCTGACTATCAGCTGGGGTTCAATCAGCACCACCCATGAGGAGGGTGGATGTTTCACAGTCATTTCTACTTTCAAATTTTTATTTCAAATTCACCCCTATTAAAGTCAAGACCTCGGAGTTTAGGTCTGTTTAAGACAGAATCTCATTTTTCACTTGAAAACAAATCTGTACCAACTGTGGTTGCTCAGGGATATGGCACCCTCAGGCTGGGCTGGTAGATAGAAAGGGGGTGTCTGGGGGTGCCAGCTGGGTCCCTTCTGGGCCTTCTGCACTCCTGATAGGGGAGGCTCCAACTTCTCCTTTTCATCTATTTCTGTGTGAGTTGCTTGGAAGGGGGTTTCAAGATCAGAGGCCCTGGATCTGCCGAGGAGTGAAGCGAAGGGGCTTGGGGGAGAAATGAGGGCAGAAAGCTGTTATCAGCCCCACTTCACGTGAGATTTCTCTGCTAACTTCCCTACCAGGGTTTTGTTCTGAGCTTTTCTCCAAAACTCATTTCACATAATCTTGACCTTAAGAAAGGCGGTAATTATTTTATTACTAATAGTACAGGCGGTCCTCAGTATCCTCATTTCCACATCCATGGCATCAACAAAGCATGAATGGAAAGACATGTAATTTTTAGATCTATGGTAGGCAGTTCTTTATTGAACATGCACAGCTTTTCCCCCTTGTCATTATCCTCTGAACAACACAGTATAACAATTATTTATATAATGTTTATATTGTAGAGGTATAAGTACAGGGGGTGATTTAGAGTGTACTGGAGCATTGCCTAGGTTGTATGCAAATATCACCCTGTTTATAAAATGAGCACTTGCAGGTTTCCGTATATGGAAGTCCAGGTCCCAACCCCTCTGGATATGGAGAAAAGATTATATAGATACTATTAACTAATAAGTATTGCTGAAATGCAAATATGACTCAAGTTTTAATAAAATTTTACGTCTAGTTTTTTGAGATGTTGGTATCTGAAAATGAGTCAGCCCTGAATTTCCAGCTCAGAATGTCACAGGGTGGGACACAGTGGCCAGGCTTGCTGTCTCATGTCAGTATCATTTATTGTCACTTCCCAATTACAGCAATTTTGGCTGGGTCATTGATATTTTAGGTTCCACATCATTATTAGAGAAAAATGTGCTTTGCTCAAAATTCACATAACACGTGGAATTGCAGTCTCCTTTTTCTATCTCTGCTCAAAAATTTGCCCAATGTTTAAGACAATTCGAACAGGACTCCACAGGCAGCTTGTCTGACTTCTTGTGGCGTCAGCTAGGTGACCTGAGTGCTAACCTCTAAAAGGCTGTTGGCCAGGAGCGCAGCAGGGACTCCGAATTTCCTTTGGTGCTGTGCCAGCCCATCATTGCCAGGTCGTTCCTCTATGAGCAGAGCGAACTTGTGGGGCACAGAGAGCAGCCCACCTGCCTGCCCATCCGCAGGACCCTGGTAGGGCCACGATGAGGGACATCTTGCACTTTAGAGTAGAGGAACAGGGGGCAAGAGAAAAAAAATGAGCAAGATGTCCAGGGTGGGAGCCCAGTAGAGGAAGCACAGCCACAAGAAGGGGCGCCCCCACAACCACATCCACAGCTCTTTCCTCCGAAGCCTAGACTGGAGCATGTCATTCCATCACTAAACACCCACTTATGAAGCAGATGCCTACTCAGGCCTGAAAGCAGACAGGCGGTGGACACTCTGGCTGATGCTACTGTGGCCTGAAAGCAGACAGGTGACTGAGCCACAGGACACAGCATCTGCCTTCGCAGTTTCCCCAGCACCCCTAAATGGAAGAAAGCATTCCCTTTGTCTCCCATTGCTCTCCACTTGTGGGTAAAATCAGATCCAGGTTTTTATTTTTTATTTTTGTTGAAGTGACATTGATTTATAACAGTATATAGGTTTCAGGTGTACGTCATTGTAAATCAACATCCATTGTACTGTATTAGGTTCGCCACCAAAAGTCTAATTCCATCTTTCACAGTACAATTGACCCTTTTTGCCTGGCTTACCCAACCTCCCCAGATCCACATTTCTTATTTAGTGCCCCAATTCATGTATTGCTCAGCATTGTCTCATGAATACTCCTTCTCTTAGGTTCTCGATGGTTTCTGATGCAGAAACTGAGAGCATTTTCATGGAGCCTATTCACCTGTCATCAGCTATTGCTGCTAAACAGATCATCAATGAAGGTAATTTCCTCCAAGGAAGCTGAGTGGGAGCAATGAGTCTACAGGTCACCTGGAGATGGGACCTTAGGAAGGTGTCACTGTCATCTGCAGGTGGGACCTAGCAAGGTATTGATATATTTTGCAGGTGCTGCCTTATCACATTTAAGAAGGTTTCACTCATTGCTGGAGTATAAGGGATCAGAGGGGGAAAAAGCAACTGAAATAAAGTAAAAACAAAAATCAACCAATAAACCAGAGATATCCTGTGGGGGGTGGAGAGGGATCAAAACTGGGGTGGGAAGAGCACATGGGACTATGGTGATGGCACACGGGTGAAGTGGTGGGAAGTCCATGGGGGTTACAACTGAGATGGAAAAACATACAAAATGAAGAATGATGTAAAAAAAAACTAGTTTTTTTTTTTTTAAAAAAGGCAACTCTGACAACCCCTAAACTGTCACAGGACAGAGGTGGAAGTTGTCACACCATTAGCCCACAGTTCCTCTTCTCTCTGCCTCAACCACAACTCCAGATGGGTCCCCACATCTCTGCCCCATGGCTCAGCTCTAAATGTTCTCTGATCGCCATTTCAAGAGCAGCCAAATAAAAAATAATAAATAAATAAAATCTACAATCCCAGAGTGGTACTTTGTTGAAAAACGGATGACGGTGTTCCTGGTTCCGGCTTCCACGTTGCCCTCCTGGCTCTCCAGGGCTCCTACAGAACAAATGTGACAGTTTCTCTTCTACCTACTCCTACTGAAAATAGCTCTTCTTTAATCCATGTCAAAAAACCAACCAACAGACTCCCAAAGCCTCATTAAAGTATACAGCACTGTCTTTTTCATCTATTTCTCCAGCTGGTGGTTGTTTTGATTTCTTCCCTTTCCAGGCTAGAAACAAGTGACCCCGCCCCTCATCCCCCCGGACACTGGCTTTCCCAGGTCTCTGGGTCATGCTCAACTTGTTCCATCCCATCTCTCTCCCTGCATCAAATCTCCCCTAATGCCCCAATCTGAGGTCTCCTCAGAACACAGCAAACCCCTGTTTTGCTCTCCTCTATTCACACTCTGTGGCAGAGGCAGACTTTCATGAAATCAGAAAACTCTTCAATGTACCATTGCACCCACTGACCATTAGTCAGCAGGACAGTGTTCTGAAGTATCCCTGGATATGTTCTCTCTTTACAATATCCATCTATTTCTTCCCCCACCCTTCAGTCATTAAGACTAATGAAACATAGGCTTAATGCCTCAGAGAAGGGGCATGGAGATCAGAGCTAGGGAGAAACAAGGCATTGCTATGCCTTAAGATTCAGTCTGAGTGT